TCCTTTCCTTTCCTTTCCTTTCCTTTCCTTTCCTTTCCTTTCCTTTCCTTTCCTTTCCTTTCCTCCAGTGTGGTGGTGGGGCAAAGAGTTCTAAGCTTCAAAGCACAGCAACAAAATTGACATAAATGCACCAGGATAACCTTTCCATGATGTGATCAAAAAGACCCCCACTCATACAACACATTTTTCTATTTTTGATTTTGCTCCTATCAATTGCAAATCCACTGTGAAGTGAAGAGCTATGGGCTTTGCCTACATCAAAGGAATAAGGTGCTTATTCAAGATGCTATAGATTGTAAGTTCTGACCTAACTGAATGTAGAAATTACTTTGCAAGTCAGGGTTTTCATTACTATATATTTTATTATTTTTATACATTTTCCTCAAGGTATCCCAAGCAGTATGCCTGTTTTTATCTTCTTCCATTTTATCCTCATATCAATCTTGTAAGGTAGGTGAAACAGCAAATGGATAGTTACTGAACTTCATGGCTCAGGTTGGGTAAAAATTTAAACCTGACCCTCCCCACTCCTATTCTCATCCTTGTTGGTTCAGTCCTTGTCTGTGCCTGATAAAACCATAGTTTGGTCATCTCCACATGTAAACAAATCCTTAAATAAAAGCAAATAATGTAGGACATCATTCTTTATTAAAAATGTTCTGAAACTCAGTGACCACTACTTCCCACCAGCTCCCTTGGAGCTTCTCTACCACTCCAGAATGGGTTCTGTGAACCTGCACAGACCTTTGAAGTCAGCTGAGTAGAAAGCTTTCATTGAGATGCATTGATTATGAAATGTGAGGGATGTGTTGCAGTACGCTATCCTTAAAAAAAAGGGAGAGGGAGAAAAAAGAAGGGCAGCTGAATGGAAGAGACTCAAATTATGCTCAGCTGGTTTAGTTCACACTGTGACCCTGCCTGGCTTCCTGCTATTCAGATGTGTTACTTCCTTTTTCCAGTAATGGCCTGTGGCACTCAGCCAGGGAACGTTATTAATTTCAGAAGTGGCCTGACAGCAAAACCACAGCAAAACGAGAGGAAGTAGCAGGGAGGCCATCTGTTGGTTTCGGCAGAACAGTAGGAGCTGAGCTCCATGGACTCAAATGAGGAAAGCAGATTAATAATCCACAGTGAGGAAACAGTGCTAAATTTATCCACAGAGCATATTAAAAGAAGAAGAAGAAGAAGAAAAAAAAAAGTGAGCTGCAGCTGGACAGGAAATTGCTGGAGCAGCTTACATTTTTTCTGCTTTGAATGACACAGGACAGAGAAGGCAAAGGAAACCCTCAGTTCTAGGTTACAATCAGGGTGCTTCCAGAATGATGGCTTCTAGAGTTACAGGTCCAAAGGCATTTTGTTATTCCACATTTGTGGAAAGAAAAGGAAGAACAGGAAGGTTAAGCGCAGATGACCATTCTTGTTGCCTGGTTCTGTACATGAACATGGGGAGAAATTGAAAAATCTTTGTGTCCAAATCAAAGCAGGTTATTCTGCAACTCACTTTGCTTCTACTGTATATAGATGCACTCAATCTAAGCTCTGCTTCTGTGAAACTAACCCACCCATACCACCACTACTGATGTTTTGGATGCTTTTTCAATTCAGTTTCAAGTATCTAAAACAATCATTTTTTGTTCAGCACAATTTGGGGCTGAAATAAACAGGAAGTTCTGATGCAAAACATTCTTGTGGCTTTAGCTTTGGTTGACTTCTATCACTAGAAAGGGAAGCAATTTTAGATGAAGAACCATGCTGTTGACACATTGGTTACACGCTATCTGCTTTCTTGCTCTGTGTTTTAATTTTTGCCATCCAATTTATGCTATGTCATCAACTTGCCATTTGATCTAAATGCATCATGTAACATACTGAACAAATGTATGTAAAATGAAATTTGTGTCCCATGAAAAATAATAGCTTTGCTGGATCCAGTCAAAGATCCATCAACTTCCAGGAAATTAACTGTAATAATAATGTAATAATAATTTATTAAATTTATGTGCCACCCAACTCCCAATGACTCTGGGTGGTTTACAAATTGTTAAAAACACTTAAATCAAGAAAACAACATAAAGCAAAAAAGAGCAAAGATGGCAGAGATAACAAATCCAGATGGGAACCAAAAAAAAAAAAAAAAAGGAAGAAGAAAAGGGAGCATAAATCATATTCACCAAAGGCCTGGGTGAAGATCACTGTCCAGCCTTTGGGACAGAACCCCGACAGCTTGAACTTCACTTGTTCAACCTGGAGTTGAAAGATATAATTGGGTATCATCAGCATACTGATGATACCGAACCCCAAAGAGTGGATGACCTCACCCAGCAGTTTCACATAGATGTTGAAAAGGAGAGGAAGAGAAAATAGAACCTTGCAGCACCCTACAAAGGAGGGCCCTGGGGAACAATCTCCCCACCTACCAAAATTGACCGAAGCTGACCCCAGAGAAAGGAAGAGAACCACTGTAAAATGGTGCCCCCAGTCCCCATCCCACGGTGCTGGCTCAGAAGGATATCATGGTCAACAGTATTGAAAGCCACTGAGAGATCAAGGAGCACAAGAATGGATGCACCACCGCCATCCCAGTTCCCCTACAGGTCATCAACAAGTGCAACCAAAGCTGCCTCATTAAACTGTAATTTTAACATCATGTAACTCATTGGGATTTAAGCAGTCTGAAATATCCAAAGTGCCTCATGAACATTGTTGTTACAAATGTTATGGGGACTTGGCAGACAGGTCATATCAGATGAAGTGTCACGGCTGGTTTAAGCTAGTCTCTACAGTTTGTGCCAGATGTGATATTTGAAAGAGTGACTTCCTAGTCTGTAGCTTAGGCTTTTTAGCTAATAAAGAATGTTAACATACTGGAAAAAGTGTATTTGAAAGACAAAATTGTACCATGGTGGGAAAAGATGCTAAATGGACAGGGGAAGACCACATTAAAATATTGGCTAAGATAACAAAATTTGGAATCCTAGTTTCCAGAGAAAATTAACAGAGATGTTGTGAGGATGCACGATACCAACTTTGTATTCAGTTTATTTGAAAAACAAAGAATTCAGTAACATGCTGATGCTGCAGACATCTCGTAAATAAGATGTGATAAAGAGGAATAAAATGTCCTCTAAGTAAATGGGAGAAAAGTAGGCAACTTTCCCTCCCAGATAAAATGTGTATGTTCTCAAGTGCCATAAAATTAGGGAAATATGTACATCTTTATGGTAAATTATCCCATTGCTTAGTTTAGGAATCCAGTACTGGAGCATCTCTGACAGATGGCCATTCAACGGTTATCATTTCTAGTGAAAGATTTCCCAAGGCTGTGTGCTCCATTGTTGAACAACTCTTCCTATTAGTATTTTTTTTTTTTTAATCCAACCAAAACCTACTTCCTTGTTAATGAAAACCTATTGTTTTGCCTTGTCTTCTGGAACAACTTTGAACAGTTCTGTCCCATGAAGATAGCCTTTCAGATACTTGATGATAGTCATGTGTTCCCATAGTCTTCTCCTTTCCAAACTAATAATGCCCAATCACCTTTAATGATTCTCTTCAAGCCCTCTATCATCTTCATTGCTCTCATCCGGACACACTCCAGTTTGTCACTCTCCTTCCTAAAATTGGATGAAAAATTCTAGGTGTGGTCTGATCAACACTGGACAGAAAGATTGATGGCTTGATTTTGACCCAAGACTTCTGTTAATGGAGCCTAGGACTGCGTTTACTTCAGTTGCATCATAGCTGTTTAATGTTCAGCTTTTGAGTCACTAAAACACTCCGATTCTTTTCTTCTAACAATCTTGTTAGAATTGGCCTTAACAAAGCATACTTCAGGGAAGGCAATACACTAGCTGTAAACAGCAATCACAGGGGCAAGGATCACTGCATTATTTTCAAAAGAATTCTCTTTCAAAGTATGCACTCTTGCCCAAATATAACGATGTAGACTCCCACCTGGTTGTGCATTGAACACACATCCCAATGAAATTAATGCAATAAAGAATGACATCCCAAAATCTACTCCACATCTCCAATAAAGTATATTAAAAAAAAAAAAAAACCACCAATGCAGCTGTGCCCAGATGTTATTCTCTGGCTTGGGCTGAAAGTATTTTTAAGACTAAAATACATGCAAACTTTCATTCCTCTTTTTGTAGATTACAAGATAGTCTTGGCTTTTGGTCTCACTTATGAACGTCCTTACATAATACATAAAACCCAGTTTCTCAATAACCAAAAATAGTCATTTATTAATAATTTAAGTTCTTACATATTGAGAATAACATCCCAACTTTACACTAGCAAATTTGAGACTCTCCCTTACTGACAATCATGTGCAAGATCTTCTTGCATTTATACAGGTACACAATGTTCACACACACTTCCAGTTTTCTACAAAAATAAATGCAAAATATTGCATTTGAGGTGAAGCTCCCTGAAGTGTTTGCACAGAGGTAATGCACTGTTTAGCATTTATCAACTTTTTAAAAATATGTATATATATTTAGAATTGGACCAATAAAAAGGGTTAGGGTACAATCCTTCAGTTTGAAGAAATGATTTCCTCCATTTTTTTAAAGAATGCAACAGGGATTCTTTATAAAGGCAAGGGTCCTATCCCAAAAATCATGAGACCAAACTGATGATATACCCCCCAAAATAAAAATTATATAACTATAGAAAAGACTATTCATTCACAAAACTGAATAAACAAACTCAAAGGCATAGATATTCATTTATAACCAAGGAAGTTTGCCTAATTCTACAATGAAATTAAGCATGCTGCAGATGAGTCATTTGTGCTCCAAAAGTAATAATCACTGGAGAATGCAAAGAGATGATATCTCTCAAGCTGATCTCTTGCAACTTTCATGTCATTCATGAGATTGAAAAGATTTACATTGATCAAGCTGGGTATTACAAAACTCTTTGCAGACAGATATTCCCAAATACATTGAACTGAAATCTCTTTGGCTTCCCTAAATCAGTATTAAGGAAAAAAAAATCAAGTCTTCACTGAAGACAACATATATTATAAATGCACATATTACATAACTCCCAGTGTCACATACACAGATGTGTACTTATAGTGTTCATTCTCTCCCATCTGTGTTTGGAAACCCTAAATTTTAAGTCACTGCATAAGTGTCTTTTGTGCATTAAGCACAATATACTGTCCAACTTGAAGCAGTAGCTTACTGTGTTTTTCTTCTGCTGGGAAAACCCAGCAAGGTCCCTCACTTTGCAACAGCAGATTTCAAATATTGTAACCTTTATTGTGTTCAATCAGAGGCAGCTACTACCAAAATACAGGGCCCACAAGAGTTGCAGTTCTCTGCAGCTGTCAAAAGAGAAGCATCGTGGAATGATCACAATACCCAAGGTTGAAAGAACAGATGATCAGTTGGCCCTCACGTAGATTGCAAAGAGTCCACCTGGAAGACATTTTGATTGGAAGGAGTAGTAAAATATAGTTGCTGACTGGGCATGCGGTTATCACAGGGGCTGTTCAGCCCCAGAGTCCTCTCAAAGTCCAGCAACTGTCCCATGAAATTAAAGTTGGGGGAGATATTGGATTTCTTCATTTTGACAATGTCATAGGCATCATTCATGGATAAGTTGAGCTTTTGCATAAGATATGCAACTGTCACGGTGACTGAACGACTGATCCCTGCCAGGCAGTGCACAAGCACCCCACAATTTTTCCCCCGAGCTTCATCTGTTGGAAGAAAGGACAGAGACAAGAGACTATTAAGTCATACATTTGTTTCCTGTTTCAGATAACATGAGCTCCTGATGTGAGATGAGACATAAGTGAATTGCTGTTGTAACTTTTCTTAACACTCTCCTGCACCCTCTCCTGCCTAGGCTTGCATAGTATTTTTAAAAACTGGCTTGATTTCTTTTCCCAAGAACTCTTTGAGCAGATTTGGCAAAAGTCATACCAAATAGTTCAAGGTAGTAACAGATCTTGAACTCAGGTCTTTCTGATCATGCATAGATCTTTCTATGCAGTAAAGCACAAAATATTCTCTAATGTTAAAAGCAAATAGTGAAATTACATGGTTCAATCTTTACTGGGCTGTTTCACTCAGCCTACAGTTGTGTGACTGAATGCCTGGATGCACACACATGGCTAAAATGCATATTACTCTGTGCACAGAACATTGAACTGCTTCCTTGTAACGGAGGGGTATTCCAGTGTCCTGCACATAGAAAAGTAGTCATGAACTCTTTTTGCCTATCCTGCCTGACATACCCATCTTCTAGAAGCAGGGTTTAATTTAAAGAATATCCCAACATGCTGGGATAACCCCAATAACTCTTAATCTGAAATATATTACAAGAGCTGTTCTTGTAATTTCATTGGTCATGTTTATTGGCTGTCTACAGGAATTCTTTCTAAAATCACATTCTAGATAGAATTGGAAAAGGAAGCAGCAAAGTATTTTATAGAAGTCATTTGTTGTAGAAACTTGGTCAGATACAGGAGTTCAGATAGGATTTGACTGAGAAAATAAAGCAATTTTCCAAGAGGCTTAAACAAACAAATGAAGAAAGAATCTCTCCTCCCCCCACCCCCAAACCCTTATATATGTTTAGCTTGGGTTTATTACTAAGTGGAGGAGAATCCCTATAATTTTGCCATTTTATAAGGCAGGGATGTTGCAGAGGTCTATTAAATGGTTTTCCAAGGGTAATGCACTGCAGCTGAACAATGAAAGTATTCAGCTGTTTAAAAAAAGGGGGGGGGACTAGAAGTCACAGGGGACAGCCCATTAAGAGAAACAGGATGTCAACATGGTTAGAAAATGGATTCCTTTGTCATAAGAAATGCATTATAATGCCTGGAGATTTGCAGCTCCCATCCCACAGATTCTTCTTTCTGAGCTCAAATTACCTATATTCTGCTTGTTACTACTACAGCTCCATCAGATTACAGTACAGTATTCATTGACACACAAGGGCCCTGGCAAAATGAAAAAAGAAGTCCAGCATAACTGGATCATTTCACAAGGAGTAGAGAAAAAGCAACTGTTCATGTCTAGCCCTACTTGTGAGCACATCTGATACGTTCAAGTGCTAGTATTCCCAAGAAAAGGCCTGTTTAAAGATACTTTAAGGAATTGGCTAAACCAGGATTGCCTAGCCAGTGTCATACAGCCACTACAGCTAGGATGGGAGCAGATCCAAACTGTAATTAATATTTGAACAGAAAATGATCTAATGATTAAAAAAAGCATGCTATTAGCATAATCAACATAGCCCTATCCATGCCTACTCTGAAGTAAATATTGAATTCAGTGAGATTTACTTCCATCAGAAGTATACAGAAGTTTTCAGCCTTAACATTTGGTGGCACATATTTCTGAGACAATGTACACAGGATTGCAGTCAGAGACAAAAATATATTACAGTCTAATGAGATTAAGCAATCAAGCCAAATTGAGATTAAAAAGTATAACTGCCTGGACTATTTCTGTTTTCTGGTACAATTCTGCCCCAAAGTTTTGCTCCTTTAAAAACAAAAAGAAGGAAATGCCGAGAACCACATACAGACCATGGAAGTCATTCTTCATAAAAAGGATTTTTATTAAAACCTAAAATTGTAACAGAAAAAACAATAACAGGGAAAAAAAACACCCTAGAATATCTCTTTCTTAATCCATTTTCCTGGATTAAATTATCAAAGTGTTATTTCAGAATGAGATGAATAACTAAAGTATCAATATATATTGTAAATTGAAATTATGCCAGCATAAATGGATAAAACAAGAGACATCCATTGGAATCTGAAAGATTTGTGTAAAATGCATATAAAGTAGCCTTTGGAAGGCTTGCTGCTAATAAAGTGCTACTACAAGACAATTAAGAACCATTTTGCAACCTTACCTATAAAGGAGATGGCTTCAGGAAAGAATTGGGATAAGTTTTGGCTCCAATGATCAGAGATAGGGATCTGCTTGTACTTAAACTCGCCAGCATTTTCAAAGAGATTGGGCAGGTTGGGGGTGACATTCAATATGTATTTAATACCAAACTCTTCTAGAACATCCAGGTTAGTAGAGTCCTTGGCACAGCCCAAGTAGAGGTATGGCAAGATTTCCACTGGGAAGGAAGGCTGATTGTTAGACAAAGGGCTGCCATCAGAGTCGGTGGCACTGTTAGGATCTCGGTCAATATCAGATTCCACATCTGAAGATGAGTCAGAGCTGATTCGGAGACCACCCAAGCCCAAGACTGGCAAAGGCGGAGAATTGCTGCTACATGAACTGTCTAGATTAGTTTCACAGTGCAAGGCATACTCTGCCTGGAACTTGCTGAAACCCCCTGGGAAGAAAACAAAAAGAAATGGTTGGAATGGAGAGAATTCCCTTTAGATGTCCTATAACTGGTAGACCCAGAAGTCCCAGAACACGTTATGGTTTAAAAATACTAGAAAGAAAATTGAAAAGGGACTGATGCAGCTATAAAAAGTAGGATTGTTAATTGGAGATATTAGTTACAGCTTTGAAACATTTCTGTTCTGTGGACTTTAGTAGAACAGTACTACAAGTTGAACGTAACTATAATTGTTCCTTAGTAAAAGGGAATCTATGTAACTGGATTCCAGGCATTACAGCTGATCCAACAGCAGCAGTACATCAACCATTAACTCAGACTTTGGAAACCAGACCTGGAATATGTAGTATGTTTCCAATTGCTTAATTCTGTTTTTGCCACCACAGGAGTATCATTGAGCTGTTTTTATCTGGGCTCTCACATGCCTCCAGTGCTAAGTAGGCAATGCAACATGCTAAAAATTCAAATCCTACATACCTTCCCTGTTTCAATTCCCCACATCTTGATAACCTTCAAATACAAAGCTTGTACCACCGTCACTCCAACCAGCAAGAACAGTGGTAGCAAGGATAGGGATCAAGAACTGTAGGTCATCACTGATCAGGAAACTGGATTACATGATCTCTAAGGTACCTCTGGATGTTATGAGGTTAGGGATGCCAAAATTACTGCCTGGCTTTTCAAACAAGGATACAGTAGAATTATTGGCTGTTCCTTAAGGACATCCTTTGTCTGAAAGAATTTCCTTAGCCTACACATATAACCAGTATCTTTTATTGAAACAATAAAAATAGGCTTTGAAATAAAACACAATAAAATATCCTTTGAAAGAATATTTTAGATGAAAAAGGGTATTAATGGCTAAGAAGAGAGGAATTTTAGAAAGCAATGCACATTATTCCATTTAGGAGGCAAGCTTGATTTGGCAACCTTGACTGCTCAGAGCCTGGACTATTCCTGGGGGAAGGCAGGTGAAGCCGCTGCTTGAGTGCTCCCTGCTCCCCCCTCCGCCAAGAGCGGGCTCTTTCTCTCTGGAAGGGGCAGGCGCTAGGCGTTTTGACGCCAGAGGCAACCACCTGCTACGTCGCTTTTCTGGAGTCGGGATTTTCCCTACGAGGGGAATCCTTAAGAAGGAGTAGAGCTCCTTTACTATCAGGGGCACGTTCCGGCCATCCATGGACTCCAGAGGCGGGAGCTTGCCTCGAAGCCTGCCCAGGAACGAGTTCAAAGGATTGAAACGGGGGGGGGGGGGCGGTGTTTGCAGACTGCAGCCTAGAAGAGGCTTTAATCTCAGGGCCATCTGGCAGCGCTCCGCTCCGGGCCGCGGAGGGCAAGGGCGCCTTGCGGCCAGATACCGGGGGCTGGTGGTAAAGGAACAAGGACAGAGCGGGGAGGAGACGCTGCGGGTCTGGGTGGCGGAGGCAAGGAGGAGGAGGAGGGGCCAGTCATTCTCTCTCAGCCCAACTCACCTCACCGGGTTGTTGTTGGGGGCAAAATAAGAGGAGGAAGGAGTATTAGGTATGTTCACCGCTTTGAGTTATTTATAAAAAGAAAAAGGCGGGATAAAAAATCTAAAAAAAAAAAAGCGCGGGAGATCCCGGGAAAGTCGAGTCGACCTGGTTAACCC